AGTGTGTGTGTGTGTGTGTGTGTGTGTGTGTGTGTGTATATATATATATATATACATGTATACACTTATATGCTGCTGGGCCTGTGGTATAGCTGCAAGTGAGCATCAGTCACTTAGCAAAATTACAATTTGGCTAGAAAGCTACACATGGGACCAAAACAATTTTTTTTCTTCAGTAAAAATATATTCAAAGTAGTGTTTAGATTTTACAAATAATTTGTTAATGTAAAAATGATAGCGTGACATATGGCATCACAAAGTATAGCCATGTCACTTCCAATATGATTAACCTATGAGCCATAATTGATTAGAAACTACACTGATACCATTAGGACTATAAAATAATTATACTTTAACAAATAAATCTATCATTGATAAAAACAACAACTTGTATCATTTACAATTAATAATGCCAAAATAATCTCAAGTTTCTCCTTATAAAATGCTTAATATTATTCATGAAGAAAAAGATGGAACTTTTTAGATTAGCACAATCAGTCGTGATACCAATTTTTGATTCAGCACAGTTTTGAATAGAAAATGGGACTCTTCGACACAGCTGCATGTGCTCAGTTTATCTCATCATAGGCATCATTCTGTGCTGCAGTATGCTCTTACTTTCAGGTTTATTTAATGCCAAAACAACCTCCAGTTTCTCCTTTTGAAATGTTTGATATTATTCACGAAGAAAAAGACGGAACTGTTACAGATTCTCCACCTGCAACAATAGCTGTATGAGTCATAATCTGCAGTAGGCTGCAAAGTAGAATCTCAGCAAAGAACTTATATGTGAATGTAAACTCAAATTGCTATGGAACATGGGATGCAGTAGAAAAGACCAACTTCCAACAATGTCAGCAAGATACCTCAGGAGATTCAACACAGCTCTTATTCAAAGAGCCCCAAAACACATGTTCAATTTCTGACAGTGTTACTTGCAATTCATAGAGCACTGAAAAACTGACTTTTCCAATAATTCTTTCAGTGACAGAGTGGGAGCCTAACAAGCCCAAAGTGATATAAAATAATAAATGCAAATATAAGTCTTCATATCCTATTAGTAGAAGATATGATGTTATTAAATCTTATTACTAGACTTACACTATCAATGAGCACTTTTGGAGTCATACCAAGTTGTTTTAAACTGTGGTATTCATGAGGACAAGAGTCAACTTTTTCGAGCAAATTATGTCAACATTATCAGCTGCTGCTTTTGGTGCAAATCTATTTTTACATGATTAATGAGGGATGTTCCAAATCAAGTTTAGAATAATGGTTCATTGTCAGTATTCTGGGGAAGTTAACACAAATCACTTGTCAAGTTCAAAAATGCTAAGTCTCAAGATCCATGTGATAGCATGTGCAAGAAAACAATTTGCAAAGAAAATATACAAGCCAGCAGCTATCATTGATTTCAGGCTGGATTAAATCTGGAAGATGCCAAAAATTGATACTTCATCAAGATCCTATAGTGGCTTATTCACTATAGTAAAAATAGGATACCACTTCATGGGGTGATACAAAACATTGGGTGTCACATTTTACATTCAACAGTGGAGCTATACACATTGCATGTGTTTAAAGCATATTGCCACAGAAATTCAAACTCTAAATTATTATAGATGCAGTAAGAGAAATCATAAATAAAATTAAAAAGAGCAACAGATTATCTGATGGACATGTACTTTTTTTTAAAATGAAACTCTTGTAAATTCACACAGTTCACTGCAGTTTCAGTGTGCATTATACTATCTGATCATAATGATGCTCAAAACATTACTTATTGGCTAAATGAATGGGTTAGGTATGGTGCCCCACTCCTCAAAAGATTGTGACAGACATGTCACTTGTTTCTATACTAGCAGTGACCCAAGTAGTTCCAAATACTTGTCTGAATATTTATGGTAATTCCCAAAAATACTAATATTATGCTGACTGGTCTTGCTTAAAATATAAAGTGGAAAGGTAGATGCTTCTATGTACATTCATTGACTCAATAGCTTCAACATATTTCAGTGGAAGAAATTAAAACCCCCAGTACAAGCACAATTCAAAGAAAGCAATGCTATTGTTTTTCTTAAAGCACTAGAAGAATCGGTTGACCAAAATAAAGACAAATATTGCTATAGTTCAAAAAATCTAAACCTCATTGATAAGAATCAAACATTTATCATGTCTAAAACCCTTTTAAAGAGTAGATAGAAAGAATTTCTTCTCATAGATATTCATTAATCATAGGCATTAATGGTGAGAGTAGCAACCTGCAATACCTTCTTGACCTCAACCCTTGTGGAAAAACAGCTCTTGGTACCTTACTATGAATATTGAAAAAAACTGCTTCCAGCATATCTGTTGAAAGTAGTTTCAATGATAAAAAACAGAGAATGACAAACATCTCCTTGCCAATCCTAAACACTGTGCCTCCACACAGTTTATCAAAAATGATGCAACACAAGATAAGTTGGCAAAGGATTTGAAGAGAAAGATCAAAGATACTTTTCTTCATCTCATAAATCTCAAATTTAATTTGCGTAATCTCTAAGACCTCCTAAATAAATTTCAAACGGTTTTTTTTCAGTATAAATTTATATTTTACCCTGACTCTAAACAAGGTTGGTCAATTTGACTGACCTCGTAACCATAAAAAAATCTATATTACCTTTTTTCTCTGTCTATTAAGTCATCAAGAACTTAATGTCACATTTTGGAGCACTTTCATTAACCACCCCCAAAAAAACACACACCATATATAATAGTTAAACAAATGGCCTAAACGTCATGTTAGTGTAGCCTATATAATGTGTAAAGTTTGATATACTGTAATCCCTTATAGTGATGGCACATGATGACATACACATTCAGCATGTAATGCTGTTTGAATACAAGAAGGAAAACAATGCATCTGTATCCACAAAGAATATCAAAGAAGGTTATGAAAATGTTTTGAACGTTCATAAGTGTCAACGATGGTTCAGCAAATTTCGTTCAGGTGACATTAGCCTTAAAAACTGTGATGGCAGGGGCAGACATGTTGGAATTGATATTGATGCTCTGAAGATGCTTGTTGAGTCTAACCCAAGGCAACACACTTGTGAAATGGCCCTGCAATTGTATGTCTCTCATGAAACAATATGTAAAC